GTACTTGAAGAATAAGATGTAAGAGGAATTCATTTATGAAATGAAAAATTTATGCTCTTGTTAATTTCAAAGGGATGATTCTCATTTCTTGAGATACAGAATCATTTTATTGTAATTTGGGAGAGGAGTATTACAATGTGAATAATAAAATAAATACCTTTAACCATCTACAAGACTTTACTATTGCTAAAAAAAAGTTTAATTAATCAATCTGGGAGTTGAAATTTGTTCCCTTGGGCAATGTAGGCAGTAACCAGTTCTTTTTCCTAGAACAATTTACTTAAATATATTTCCAAATTCAAAGTCAAAATCAAAACCAATAATACTATCACCGATGATGCTGATACAATCGCTGAAAATTTTAACTCGTACTTTTCACAAGTGGGTAACAAACTGGCACAACAAGTGCCACAGAGTACCAAATCATTTAACGATTTTCTTGTCAACCCTAACCAAAATTCCATCTTTTTTAATCCTACAAACACTCGAGAAATTATAAACATTGTTAACAATCTTCTGATTAAGAAGAGCGCCGGGTTTGACTGTATTCCCAACTTCTTATTAAAGAAAATTATCAGAGCTGTTGTTCATCCCTTGGTGCATATCTTTAATATTTCACTTCATACAGGTCGGGTACCTAATCAAATGAAAATCGCCAAGGTCATACCCCTCTTTAAGAAAGGTGATAATCAACTCGTTACTAACTATCGTCCCATATCCTTACTTACCTCGTTATCTAAAGTTCTTGAGAAACTTTTTTTTACAAGAACAACCACGTTTTTTAAAAAATACAATATTTTCTCACACTTCCAATTTGGTTTCCGTGAAAATCATAGCACCTCGCATGCAATTTTGTCTTTTATGAAAACAGTTACCACTTCCATTGATAAAGGTTTGCATACTGTAGGTATATTCCTGGACTTCTCCAAGGCCTTCGACACTATAAACCATGAAATTCTTCTTCACAAACTTTCTCACTATGGTATTAGAGGGAAGGCCTTGGAGTGGTTCAGGAGTTACCTTACAGATAGGACTCAATTTGTATCGGTTAACAACTGTAATTCTTCTACACTTCCTATTACCTGTGGTGTACCGCAGGGTAGCCTACTCGGCCCCCTTCTTTTTATTACCTATATTAATGACATTCAAAAATCTTCAAATTTATTATCATTTATACTTTTTGCAGATGACTCCAACATTTTCTTTTCTCATGAGAATGCGAACCAACTACTTAGAACTGTAAACTCTGAACTAAAAAATGTAACTGACTGGATCAAGGCTAATAAACTATCACTTAATCTGCAGAAGACCAATTACATGCTATTTAGCAACAAAATCAATAGTTTGCCAGGTGAAATTATTTTTGATAACGCTGCTCTTGTTAATGTTTCTACAACCAAATTCTTGGGAGTGTTTATTGATGAAAAATTATCATGGAAAACTCACATCGATAATATATGCAAAACCATTTCACGAAACATCGGTATTATCAATAAACTCAAATACTTTCTTCCTTCTCGAACTCTTCTTACATTATATCATACCTTAATATTACCATACATTAATTATGGGATTATAGCATGGGGATGTGCAATACAAACACAATTAAATAGGATCCTACTGCTGCAGAAAAAAGCACTCAGGATAATATTTCAAACACAATTCAGATCTCATACAGATATTTTATTTTTCGAAAATAATATTCTCAAAGTGAAAGATATCTATGTGTTCCAACTCGGCCAATTTATGTTCAAACTAAGTAAAGACGACCTCCCCGCAATTTTTTCTGATATGTTCTGCAAAAATGCCTCTGTACACAATTACCCGACTAGACAACGGAACTGTTATCACTTACCCTTAACACGAACATTATTTGCACAGAATTCATTTGTCTTCGCTGGATGTGCCTATTGGAATTCTCTTCCCAACGATATAAAAGAAGCCCCTAGTCTTAGCAATTTTAAACGTAAACTTAGGAAAACATTAATCAGCCAATACTCCCCACCAACAAGCCAAGCTCAAAAATCTAAACCTACGGAAAGATAAAACAAATCTTTCCTTTTGTTATTCCTCCTTTCCTCCTTTTTTGTTTCTTTTTTAAGAATAATCTAAACAAGCCTAACGACCTGGTGGTGTACCTGCCTCCTGTCCCCATCTCCTTCTTCCTGCCTTTCTCTCGCTCTCTATTTCTCTCTTGCTCTCTCCCCTTTCTCTCTCTCTCTCTCTCTGTTACTATATTTATCTTACTTTTATTTTTACTTTTACTTTTTCTTTTTTTTTGTATTCCCTTTTGTGTGTTTTACTGGTATTAGCTTTCGACCATAATTATTTAAGCGTATCCATGTAACTAAGTCAGGGGCTTGCCTCATACAAGCTCTGCTTTTTTAGCAAGCCCCTCCGTTTTGAATTACTTCATCAAGGTCATTTTTTTTTCTATTGTTCAGTACTGTTTTTTCCCAATATTTCTTATCAACTAAATTTTGTTCTACATAATACTGAATTTACTTTGTTTATATTATATTTGACTGTATTATATTATGTCTGTTTATATTTTGTTTGTTTTGAAACGGAAATAAAATCTGAATCTGAATCTGAAGTCGTCTTGTCCAGACAATTTCCCAAAGCTGTCCTTCATGTACATGCCAGGAAAACAAGGTTTTCAATAAAATGGCAATTCTCTTTTCATTACATTCTCATTTGGTTTGAGGATTCCAGGTGGATAGGATCAAACAAGAGTCTGTTTTTATTTGACAATCACTACCGAGTGCAGCATCCTTGCTATCTTACCACGCATTCAGACTAACAAAATTCAATGTATTGCTATACAAGAATCGTATCTCTATACGATATTCAATTTGTCTAGTCTGAATGTCTTATAAAGGGGCGTCACATTACAAAATGTCGCACTGTCAAATGCATGTTTGAGCATCATTTTGAATGAAAATAATTGGTCCCATTCTCATCTGAATGTTGTGTCGTACAGAAAGGGTATAACTGGGTTGGGCTTATCAGAAGCAAGCCCCTCCTGACTAGCACATGTTGACTGATGTATCTTCAAAACTAGTTTCTTATTAAATACGATGTTCCTTTATACGATTTTGTCACATTTATCTATTCTGTACACCCCTTTTGCTCTACGACGGTTCTTTATACAACGTTTGTTTATATGAGTCTCGTATAAACTCCCCCAGTCTGAACAGACCATATAAAAGTACTTTTGCATTATGAGAAAAAGTGACTTCCCACCTTGTATATCAACTCAGAAAGATGGATAACTGTCCCTGCAATTATTTTCCAGTCCATTTATTATCATGACACCGTGTAGTTAAATTTTCCAGTGGCTTTTATTGCAATAAGGTGTCGCAGTTTACTCCACTCCGTATATGGCTGTATTGTGTAGTGTAATTGTTGTCGTCCCATAAAAGTCATATTGAATGACTTTGATGTACTATCCTGTGGGATCGTCACGGCTAACCACCAATCCCTGTTCCAGGCAACAAACATTTCACAATAATTCATCAAGGCAATACCAAGAGAGCCGACAGGACTGTTGTTGTTGTTCAAGTAGGAAATAAACTGTCAATAGAAATTATCCATGTATGTGTATACCATAGTTGGAAAATGATTATGTTTGTGACATGATGATAACGGATAGCAATCACAAGTGTGCCATTCAGCAGTTACTGCTTGATAGGACTATTTAGTTACGAACTGTCAAGAGAAATTATCTGACTTTGTGATTTTACAGATCAGTATGGATGTAAACAGGATTATTTTCTGTCTCAAATGATTATAATTGATAACTTTAATCAAACTGTAATACATTTTAACAAGACCTGCTTCCGAATTAAAACAAAATTCTGCAGTATTTGCATTCACTGTGGATTTTATAAGCTTGCTATGGATGCATAATTCATGGATGCAGTTTAAGGAGATTAAACCTCAAAGTTTTTAAGTTGAAAATGATGGCCATGCACTTCAATCTGCCTTCAACCCTTTTCACTATTAATGTTTGTTGTTGTAAATTCTATTTAATGAATACTCATTAACCATATAAATCCATGAGTGCATTTTAATGTGGAGTAAGTATGATGAAAAGTGATGGCCGTGCATCTACTTCGCCCCCCCCCCCCCTCCCATCCCCACCCATTCATAAAGGATAAAGCCCTTTCCCGTTAAATATTTTGCGATTAAATGGATGCTGAGTGGTTTGATATTTAGGTTCCGAAGTGTTTAATGCCTAGAACGTGCCCATCATGTCCTCTCTACCTGATCAATGTTTAGATCATTAAATGTAGGATGTCATCCCTCCTAAATGCCATTTTGCTAAAGGTAGTTTCATTCACTCGGAATAGATAGTCAAAACATGAAATAGTATTCTCAGTGGTGAATGGGAGTGAGAAGGGGTGGGGGCACAGCAAGTTGATGACCCCTCCTTTTTTCTTTCTTTTCAGACTTTTTCAGCTACTATTCAGACTTGCCCCCCCCCCCCCTCCTTCCCCTCCTTCCCCTCCTTCCCCTCCTTCCCCTCCTTCCCCTCCTTCCCCTCGGAGTCCTTGCTCCCACTCTTGCTTCATGTAGACAGAGTACAAATCTGTCCCATAAACGGCTTAATAAATTAGCATTTGGGTTAAACTGATACTGGAACTAATGCTGTTTCATTCACTGAGGAGTTATTACTACATGTATGTTCATTCACATGACTGCAGTATTGATAATCCTTCGACATACCAATAACATAACTAAACAAGAACATTTAAAGGAATTCCATATTGCTGCCTTCATTCCCGTTATCTTCCTTCTCATCACATTGTATACTGATATTTTAACATAAACATTCAATGAGCAGTAACACATACAAATTTCAATAATAGATTTTGATTCTGAATGTTATACAGTTGATGTGATGTTATATCAGTGTGATATAATAATTAAGATAGGAATTTCTTCAGTTTGATTAACTGTTTTCCACTTATCTCCTTATTCTTCTCTATTTGCAGGAACAAGAAGATCCCAATTCTGCATCATGGCCTGACTTCTACTTGGACCAGATCAATGCAATGATGACGGTAAATATTTGATTTGAAATCATGAGAAGATATTTATGATCCATTTCCACATTGTAGGGAATAATATAGGACCAATTCACTGCACTTGCACTCTTGCTAAAGGATAATCTTATTTTACCTCTTTTTTCTCTCAATGTTTTCTGAAGGAGTTTCTTAAACTCATTCAAGTGGAAAATGTCAGAACTAGCTACATATATATATATATATATATATATATATATATATATATACTTGTTTGTTTCTTTAGACAAAAAACACCTTTGTTTTTTCTATTTGTTATCTTGATGTCCCTACAAATTTGGAAAATAACCACACAAGAGTTGAATATTAATACCTTTAACAATATCAAGGCAAAAACATTTGAACAAGTGATACATGTATCTTAATACATCGCACCACATTATGCTTATGCAGAAACATCAACATGTTATTTGATATGATGTACTATTTTCTTTCTTGTGTTATAGCTTGTTTTCACATCGGGGGAAGACGAGGTCGCGAACAGGACCAAAGTAGTGGACAGTCTGAAGACAGCACTCAGGACACAACCTATGAAGTAAGTCTGTCTCTTGAATAGGATGTAAATGGCTGTGGGTTTTTGTATCAAGTTTTTATTTTACAGATGATGGATAGTGTAGAGACACTGCTTAAGACACGACCTATGAAGTAAGTCTGTTTCTTGAGTAGGATGTAAATAGGTGGTAAGTTCTAATACCAGAGGGTTGTTTTAAGTTTAATAGTTTTGAGACAGCCTCAGGATACAACCTATGAAGTGAGTCTGTCCCGTGAATAGGATGATGTAGGGGTTTGTCACACAGGATCAGGGTTGTGGATGGCTTATCTGAAGCATGTTAAAAAACAACCATTTTCTCTGGGGTAAGGCATCATTCCACAGCTACCCAGCCCCTTGGAATGGATGTAAAGCTGTACATCACTTGGAGCAAGAAATAAATAAGTGTAAAAAGGCTTTTAAAGCATAATGTTGTTTGGGAGCTAATAATAATACATAAGATTTCTAAGGCGCAAAATCCACTTGACAATCAAATGCTCAGGGGCAGTTTGTGCAAAAAATGAAACACATGATAAATATTTACAAAAGTGCAATAGGAAAGGTACAGACATGAAATGTAATGGTAATCAATTATTTCACATTTTACTTTTATGTATAGAAACTAATCTTGATTTATAAATTTTTTGATTGAAGGGTGTGTGCTTCTTGCTGTAAGTGTGTGCTTATCTGTAGATGAGCATCAAGCCACTGACTGATATTCATATAATTTCTATCAATATATCTTTGTCTTTTATAGGTTTGTGATGAGGTTTCTAGACCTTGATGGTCTCTCCGTCCTCCTCAACTTCCTGGAGAAGATGGACTTTGAAACCATGGAGAGCCCCATCCACACATCGGTGATTGGCTGTATCAAAGCCCTCATGAATAATTCAGTAAGTATGATGAGGTCCTCATGAATAATCATGAAGTATCCCTATGTCGCCACACCACACACTTTACAACGCAAGAATCTTCAGCAGTGAAGGAGGCAGATTATCTTGAAGAAGAAGAAGTAGAAGAAAGTCCTTATGAATAATTCATTGAGTCTTAAGATATTAGAAGGAATCAAAAGCAAACTTAATCCATGGGAGCGCAATTAATCCAATAACCGAAAATCTGCATAGTAAATTTAAAGTGCTATTCTGGCTAGATTAGGCTAAGCCCTAAATAGGATAAAAGCAATTTGATCACAACATATTGAATATATGTAATTAGACAAGTTGTATCATGATAACCCAGTAATTGAACCTATGATAGCAAAATCCATTTCCAAAAATCAATCATTTGTTGGTTATTAGAAAACAAAGACCTTATGTAAGGCAACACTAGGACAAAAAGATTGAAGAGATTATTCTAAACAAAGGTAGGAATTGCCAGTCATCCCCTTCCTTCGGTAAACACTTTCTAAGATTTCAGATTTGACGCAAAGGGAAACCTTATCTGATCCCATCTAGCAGGTGTACGATGGTTATCGGTGAATGCGAACTTGCCATCCACACGCAATGATACCAAAATATCACATTGCCGTCCCTGTTTACACTGAAAAGGTAACATACCATGTTACATATCATTATGGTATTGAACCATGTGTCACCTTGTTCAGGGATGTGTTCACATTTGAAAAAAGATGGTGTAAGGTGTAAGATGGTTATAAGTGAATGTGAACTTCCCATGTACATGTAGGGATACCAAAATATTACATTTATGTTCCTCTTTGCAAGGTCACTTACCATGTTACAGATCATTGTGGTATGAAAAGGTGCGTCTCCTTGATAACAAATCTTATGATATTCCAAACGATGGTTTGGGAGAGTTATTGGGGATTATCAACTTCTCATTTTACCCACACTGATATAACAAGATCACATTTTTGTTCCTGTTCACATCGGAAAGATAATGTACTATGAGACAGATCAAACAGTGATACTGTGGTGTGAAAACACATGTCACTTTCTTAAGGGATCTGTTCACATTGAGACAGATGTTGTTTCATGTTAGATGTTATCAGTGAAAGCCAACCACCCTCTGCCCACATCGATGCATAAATAGCACATTACATAAAACCCCGTTCAGATGGGGAGGAATGATCACAAATAGATCATTACAAAGGTATGCTAAAACATGTGTCACCGTGGTAGGGAATCTGTTCACATTGGGAATGAATCCAAACCCCCAATAATCCCCAAATATCACCCTACAGATATACATCCCTGATTACAAAGAAAAAGATAATGTCATGCGTTCGATATACCATATGGCGATACGAAACAGGTGTCACATTCATAGGCAACGTATTCACATTACAAAAGATTGAAAATGAAATAAGAATAAATATCACCATTAATTAATTGATAGATTTATTTCACATCAGAAAGGTTAATGAAACTGAAAGAGGCATTAGAAAGATATAACAACATAGTTTCAGAACAGTTAATTAATTAATTCAATGAATTAATTGTAGGTGCATTTGAAAATAGAATAAGGTTAGTCAGTCCCAAACACACAAAAGATAAAAATTATTATAATGTAGATGTATTATCAAATTTTTCTTTTCAAAGTGGGCACTTCTGGCCTTCATGAAGATCATAAGTAATGACTAGAATATTCAATTTTTGAAAATCATGTAGGTTGGATTTAAGGGAGAGGCACAACCAGCCTGGCAATCTGGCATACTGGTACTACACACAACAATGTGTCCCCCTTTCAAAGTTTTGACCCAAAAGGCACCTAAAAGTATAATTTTGTTGTTCAGGATTGTGCACCCCCTCCTTATACAGAATTCTGGTTCTGCCCATGGGTGCACACAGTCAGTTAATGTAGGAGACTCACTAACAGGTCACCAATTATGTCATAAAATGGTAATATCCTGTAAGACCGTGAGAAAGTGGGGAGAAGGATGCTAAGAATAACCTGGGAATCGCCCTCCCTCGATCAAAGCCCATGTTCCTCTTGATGCAGCTTTTGGATACTTAATTCACTCTAGCTTAATTTCTCAGTGTGAAATATCCTGTCTCACAAGCTCATGGCATTCATTCATACCAAGTGAAAGTGCTTTATGAATAGAAAATCTTTCAGTGTTTCAGACAATTTAATAATAGTCGCTGAACAAAAATGTGGCTGATCCTCGTGGTTGGAGGGTAAAACTATATTTTAACATGACTCAAATAATCAAAATTTCTTTTAATAGTTATGAAATTGATGTGAATCTCCCCCCCCCCCCTAAAAAAAACAACACTTGGAATACATTTGTCGAAATTCTGAGGAAAAGATCATTAATTTGTCCATGAACAAAGTAGAAGTCATTTCCGATCTTCTAATACAAGCACACACATCTTAACGTGAAGTTATAATAATAATAATTTAATATAATAATTTATCCATGAACAAAGTGAAGTCATTTCCGATCTTGTGATACATGCACACATATCTTAACATAAAGTTACGTGCGACACTCATCGTCCATGACATTTCTCACGGTCTGTGCAGAGAGTATGTGATTTACGGGCCACTGACTCATTCTGTTTCTGGGAATGGAACGTCCATTTATTTCCTAGCATCCTTCCTGACCAAATCCATACGATGGGATTAAAAAGATTCACACTGGAAATTGCAGTGGCTTATGGATTAATCCTCTCACAGATTTATAAAAACATATTTGACATTGCGGATCATTGAAAATCACATTGTGCAATTTTTAAACATAAAAGGAGAGCTTGATATTGCAGTGTTAATATTGAGCATTTACTTTTTGCTTTTATTTGTAAGAAAATTATTGATTGAAAGATATTTTAAGTAAGTATCATTTGACTGTAAACTAGAACCTTTCATGAAATGTGAAATGTGAAATTTGAGAATTGTAAAAATTCATTAATTTTGCAGCATGAAGCAACCCTGATTATGGACTCCTCGCAAAATTTGTGAGAGTTTGTAGTTTTTTTGGTATGTGATTTTTCTAGTTCTTCTTCTATTTGTTACTTGCCATGTTTAAAAACAAAAGTTCAAATGTATACCTTGAAATGATCAAACACACGATTAAACATGTACCCACATTTATAATCCTGTGGGAAGAGAGAGTGAGATAGGTAAAAAAATTACCAAATTTTCCCACTGTATCACAACAACATCACTTTACAGTAGCGTTAGCTGAGCAGATGGCTGCCAGTTAATTGGTTGACAACTTCAGCGAGGCGTTGCCCCATATCCCAATGCTGACGTTGGTGTGAAGTTAGCCGCCATGTGGCATCCCTACACCTTCTGCTTATTGCAAAATTACAGAAGAAAAAAATACAGGGCGTATATTTTGAAAAGAGAATGTCCATGAATAATTTGACTCACGCATGTATTTGTTTCAAGATCCATTTTTCTTATCGATTTCCATTTTTACGACTATTGTACGAAGTGCTAATTACGTCATTTAAGTGTTGTTGCACTTTGTATAGTTCGTACACAGTTACATCACTTACATGTATTCTGCATTGACTCAAAAGAAGAAAAAAATAAAATTACATAAATTAGTGGAAAATATTAGATAAGATTAGGCTTACTGTAAAATATTATGAATGATTGGTCACTGAAAAGTGCATTATTTCTATCATAAAAATATGTGACTCTATAATATTAAGCATTTATATGATTTATAACGATGGATATCATCTCACAAAATATAATTGCAGAGAAAATGAAGTTAATGATTATATTAAATGATGTCCAAAATACATGTAATACCCTAATTCTAATGTCTTGCAGCTTTTGCACCCATTCCTCCAAACCCTGCGCAGCTTGGCTGATCATCTTTATCTAAGATTGTAATTCATTTCTTTTTTAAATTAATTAATTTCTTTTTCTTTCTTTCTTCTCTTTGTAGCTTGGCCGAGCCAACGTCCTGGCCCACCCGACGTCCATCAACACCATCTCGCAGAGCATGATCACGGAGAACATCAAGACCAAGATCGCCGTCCTGGAGATCATGGGCGGGGTCTGCCTCGTTCCCGGGGGCCACAAGAAGGTCCTGGACGCCATGTGCCACTATCAGAAGTTTGCCTCCGAGAGGACAAGATTTCAGGTACGTTTTAATCAGAGAGGACAAGATTTTAGGTATGTTTCAATCGGTGGAGAAAGATAGCGCTGCTTCCGGATTGAAGTCTGGAATTTCCTTGATTAATTCGATACAGAATCGTCTCAATCGATGGGATGGGGAATTTTTCTAATTGATTTGATTGAGAATTTTTCTTTATTACGTTTATTGGAAATGACATTTATGTGGTATCAGATGGTACAATTTGGCATTATTGAAATTGCTTAGACTTGTACCTAGCCATATCTTTGTGCTTGTTTTGATCATTGCAGTAGCAATCTCAGAAAAGAGATTCAAATGATGCAATTCAAGGGAAATCCTGATTGTAGACGGCTACAATTGATAATAAGAAAATTTATTGAAAGACGGCTATACACAAGAAAAATAACATGAATATGAAAATGAAACATTCAAAAAAAGAAATACTAGTTTTAAATTAACAACATTTTTTTTGCCTGAATGTATATGAGACAAATAGCATGATACCCTGAATTGTTGTTTTGTTGCCAACTTGTTCAAGGTAATATGTTGCAAGTCTATATCACTAGATTTATTGCAGCATCATGGAAAATAACAATGTTGAATTGCAATTAAAATGACCATGAACCCATACAGTTTTTTTATGAAAAAATAGATAATATGTGCAATAGATCATATGAGCAAGTCTATATCACTAGATTATTTCAGTATCACAGAAAATAAAAAATTGTTGAAGGGCAATTAAAATGATCATGAGCCCTTGTACAGTCTTTATTTGGAAAAAATAGATCATGTTTACTAAACAAAAAGCCCTAGAGCAGGATTAATATCATAACGGTAAAACCAAAAATAAACATCAGCAATGTCACTGCTCTGACATCAAATTTCCCTAGTGCTCTTTTAAGCTGCTTTAGAGATTATGTAACCGATACCAATGTTATGTAGTGTAATTAGATATCGTTGATCGCATCGTCTTCATACTGTCATTTGACACATAATGACCCGTCCGTCCGTCTTTAGCTCGAATTTGATCCGATTACGCCCAGTCACTTTATCCATCCAGGAATGTAAAGCCTCCTTGATATCCCTTCTCTATTACCATGCTAAGAAATGGACCACTGTTCACTGAACTGTTCAGAATGAGCAAAATATCCTCATGATTAAGTGTCATTATGATATCACTTTGTTAAAGAGCTTAAAGAGTTGAGAGAGTATTATTTAAACGCCAATTAGGATCCCTTGAAGCTGTTGAAGTCCCTTTTCATCAGGTTGTACTTTAATAAATACAAGGATCTTTTATAGTGTTCTTGGAAATCAGAGATTCAAAGCCAGCTATTTTAGCATGTGATTCCAGAATCACTTTCATATCCCAATTCCAATACTGTCGGGGCATTGAATTTAATAGTTGGCAGCAAATGATACCGGTATCTTTTTTAATTGATAGATTCTTTATGTGGCTGTCCAAATATACTCTTGCTCATATCGTGTTCCATTTCAGAGTATTGGATGTATAGAGTTCATAAAGATAATTCTGTTTGGCAAAGATCTTTGCAAGATCCATAAACAATGTTTTGCAAAACCTATTAGAAATGGTGATGTCTGGGTTCTAACAAGATTTTTCACATGCACCATTGATCAACTCTGCAGCTCAAATAAAAGTTCATTTTATCTTAAGCATTTTCCATCAAATTTTGCAGGACAACATACACAAGGTTTTTGTATATCAAAACCACATACATTTGGTTAGAACAGTTTCAAAGTTGTCAAAAACTACACACCAATAATACATGCTCTGTGCAGAACATCTCTTATGGAGGAAGCATTGTTGATACTTCTAAGTTGTAATTAATCTGGATTGGGTTATTTAGCCACTGAATTTCAAACACAAAATGACAGAGCTTTCAGTACCTGGCAAAAACCCATCAACTAAAAACCATTCCTTGATCATCTATTTTGCTATGAGCCATGTCATCTCCTCGTTTCCTCATTTCCTCGCCACATTGCAACAATTAAGACATCACCGAACGTAACTCCTTCCCCCAACCACCATCCCATAAACAAGAGGGATTCTTTCCAACAAGTTAATTTAATGCACAAAATGGCAGAGCATTCAATACCTGGCAAAAACCCATCAACTAAAACCATCCCTTGATCATCCATTTTGCTTCAAGCCATGTCATTTCCCAGTTTCCTTACCACATCGCAACAATTAAGACATCACCGAACGTAACTCCTTCCCCCAACTACTATCCCTTATACCATGAGGGATTCTCTTCCAACAACCTAATTATTTAACCTAATTACCAGGGAGTCTAGACACAAGCCCAGCAGACACGACTGCCATCTATGTATTCTTTTGGAGGGGAGGTAGGCATATATATAGGGTGCCTTGGAGCAAGGGAAAGTGGTTTTCCTGAAAAAATGAGAAACCTCTTTGGCGTCCTCTGTCACGCCATCAACCGATCAGAGATGATTAATTTCTTATGTCTTGTGGCATTATTGTTTTCAAACATGCTGAGGTTGCTAGGATTTCATGGGCAGATCGAGAGAGCAAACAATTTTTGCTACAGTGCGAAATTTGGTTTAATGAACAGAAATGACACATATTCAAGAGATATGGGTATTAACCCTTGGAAATTTACGCCTCGGATAGCTCGAGCTGGAGTCCATGGAAAGGAATGTTATAAAGAAAAGAAATCATAACTTAAAATTGTGATCTTCAAGTCGGCAACATGAAATCCATTTCAAAACCATTGATCAATTTTTACTTGTTTTTCATACAATTTAAACTAGAATTTAATCATGATCAATGACAAATGGAATATATGATGTCAAATATATATAATTCAAAATGAGAAAATAAACCCTTTGCTCCTATATTTATATCCTAAAAAACAAGTATTTGTTTATGAGACAACTTTAGGTCATTACTATCCATTCAAACATCATAATTGCCCTTTGTAGGACGTATTTGCTCTGAACCAGGTGAGCTCTTCAATTTTTACTTTCTAAGAAATCACTTTCACATTCTTTTGTCTGTCTACTTTAGGCAGTCCAACTTATTGAAATGTGATTAAACTTGTCATCAAATGATTCTCCACCTTGTAACAAAAAAAAGTAAAGCCCTTTCTTCATTGAAGTAGGGGAAGAGGCAATGAATCATCAATTTTGGTCCAATTACGAGCACGACATCGATGAACATAATGAAATCATACCTAATTTGGGAGCTCGTTACGAAGCAGGAATATTCGTCAATGCATTTGACAGGAAAATGTGACGGGAGCGAGCAATTAGGTGTAGAAGGATTACGAAGCTGAGAGATGGCATTAAGATAAGAATGAAAAGAGTGACAACCTTTTTCCTTTCTCTGTCGAGAGGGATTATTCAGTTGAGATGGGTAGAAATAGGACACTCTCATACAATTTATTTCATTCGTCATGGGTTTTGATTTGCAGGGTGAAAAAACATGAACAAATAAAACAATTATGGTTTATAGATTCTTCCTGAATGAGTCGATGCGTAGGGCCTTTATGCACATCACTTAAATTTTATCATGCTAAGAACAAAGAACAGGTGCAGTTTTATTTTAGAGCCAAATTAAGAAACAATACAGGGTAATGCGACTTTTGGTTCAGCTTTTTGTTAGCCTGGCATTCGTGTTGTTGGTATTACCGGGGTATTAAGATTTCCTCTTTTCTGTAGCTTTCCTATCTCCTACAACAATTTCATTCTAGAGGGACGACTGCTAGAAATATATCATTGAACTTGTGGTAGTGCCTATATACAGCTGTCAACAGATGATTTATCAAATTACACTCAGGGGATTCCCCAAGGATACCTCTTATGCCCTTTGTAGTTCTGTATCACTGAAGGATCTCCCATCTCTCCACATCTTTGGTTGAAACAGAGGTCACCCTTGGTAATAGCAATACCCTCTTCCCACCCATCCCATCCCCATTTGATCGTGCTTATGCATATCAGAGAGGGGAAAGCTAGGGTGTAATGTTTTTATATCAAGGTTAGGGGGAGTTCATGTGTAACATATAGTGTCACAGGATAGATTTGAAGTACGTGGATACAAAAGATATCATCTGCTGGGAACAAAAAGAACATTAACTCTAGGGAAGTTTGTCAGTTAATACGTCTCTGACTCTCAAGAGATGATATGCTGTTTTAAGTAAAAGAGGCAAGATAATTCCATTCCCAATTTTGTTATCAAGTTCTTGTAGTGAGGCGGCAGTAGTATCACTTAATCACTCCAAGAAGTTGATGAGAGATGTCAATTCTGTAATTAAAGATACAATGCACAGCTGTACCAATGACATTTAATGAAGTCAATTATAAATGGAAACATACATGCAGGCCTATATTTAAATAAATGGAATTTTCAAAAAATAAGTGCATAAATCCCAAAATCTGTGTCAACACCATTTGGAGTTGCCTATCATGATATCATGATAACCAATCGGGCCATTTTTAGCTACGTAAGGTAGCTAATAAGCAATTAAATCCCCATAGATTTTGCTATAGGCCTGCCAATCCCAAAACGACTTCTTTTTCTTCATTTTCCGAAGAGTCTGATATGGATTTCAAAAATCAGCCGTGGCTTTGAACCAAGGATGTCTGGGTGCTCTCTATAAGCTCTCAGCAACTGTCTTCGATATTCCCAGAGATTGCCATAATCAGAATCGAAAAATCATCAAAACAATATTTTGAGCCTGAAATCTTAGACAGGAATAATGAGGGCTTCCGTCTGCTTCCAGTTTGAAAGTCAAAGGCCCTGTTCACATATAATGCAATGTCATGCAGTATCACTGCATTAAAACAAACTTTTGAGTCAAAATATGACGGATTCATGTGTGAAAAGATGTGTGAATAGATGACCAAATTGGATTGGAAAAAAGGAGCTGTGCATAACAATGAGCTCTAAAAGTTCTTCTTCATATTTTCAAAAAAATAAATATGAAGCACATTACACACTTTTGTCAGGGTTTTTTCTGCGGAACTTT